TTTTGCCACTCTGGAAGCTCCCCCCCCCTCCCCCCCTTTTCAAAGGCGAGGGGGGGCTTAGCTACCCCCCCCTGCTGGACCCCCCCTGCCCCCCCCTCCTGAACCCCCCCCTGCTTGGCTAAGCTACCCACACACCCCTCCCTTGAACTCCCCCTGCCAGACGAGCCTCCCCCGTCGCCGTCGTCGTTGCCGTCGCCGTCGCTCGACGTCTTCGTACGACGTCGTCGTCGTCCTCGTCGTCGTTGTCGCCGCCGTCGCCGTCATTGTCGCAATCTTCGCATGACCTCGTCGTGGTCGTCACGACGAGGACGAAGTCATGCGAGTCGGCGACGGACGACGGACGACGGACGACGCGCGACCGACGACCGACGACGACGACGACCCACGGTCAGAGAAAACGAGACCACGACCCAGGGGCTGAGAAAACGCAGAAACGAAGCAGGGTCCGAGCAAACGAGACCACGGCCCAGGGGCCGAGAAAACAAATCAGGGTCCAACAGAACGAACCAGGGTTCGAGACAACGAGACCACGACCCAGGGGCCGAGAAAACGAGAAAACGAACCAGGGTCCGATAAAACGAGACCACGATCCAGGGGCCGACAAAACGAGACAACGAGAAAACAAACCAGTGCCCGAGAAAACGAAACCACTACCCAGGGGCCAAGAAAACGAGACAACGAGAAAACGAACCAAGGCCCGAGGAAGCGAAAACACAACCCAAGGGCCGAGAAAACGAGAACGACGAGAAAACTAACCAGGGCCAGCGAAAACGAAAGAAAAACCCAGAAGCCAAGAAAACGAGAAAACGAGACACTGAACCAATGTGCGAGAAAACACGATACCGACCCAGGAGCCGAGAACACGAGAAAACGATAACACAAACCAAGGTCCGAGCAAACGAGACAACAACCCAGGCCAAGAAAACGCGAATCTCGGTCCTTGAAAACGAGACCACGATCCGGGGGCCGAGAAAAAGAGACAACGATAAAAGGAATCAGGGCCCGAGAAAACGAGACTACGAACCAGGGGCCGAGAAAACGAGGCAACGAGAAAACAAACCAGCGTCCGAGAAAAAAAAGCTACGACCCAGGGGCCGAGAAAACAAAAAACGAGAAAACTCACCAGGATCCGAGAAAACTGGACCACGACCCAGGGGCCGCGACAACAACAAACGAGAACACGAACCAGGGCCAGAGAAAACGAGACCACGACCCAGGGGCAGAGAGAACGAGGAAACGAACCAGGGTCAGAGAAAACGAGGCCACGACCCAGGGGCAGAGAAAACGAGAAAGCAAGAAAACGAACCGGGGCCCGAGAAAACGAGACCACGACCCAGGGGCAGAGAAAACGAGACAGCGAACCAGGGCCCGAGAAACAAAAAACACGACCCAGGAGCAGAGAAAACAAGAAAACAAGAAAACGAAAGGGGGTCCGAGAAAACGAGACCACCACCAAGGGGCAGAGAGAATGCGAAAACGAGACAACGAACCAGGGTCCGAGAAAACTGGACCACGACCCAGGGGCCGAGAAAACAAGAAAACGAGAAAACAATCTAGGGGCAGAGAAAACAAGACCGCGACCCAGGGGACGATAAAACAAGAAAACAAGACAACGCATCAGGGTCAGAGAAAACGAGACCACGACCCAGGGGCCGAGAAAACGAGACAACAAGACAACGAACCAGGGGCAGAGAAAACGAGACAAACATCCAGGGGCCGAGAAAACAGGAAAACGAGAAAACGAACCGGGGCCCGAGAAACCGAGACCACGACCCAGGAGCCGAGACAACGAGAAAACGAGAAAACGAACCAGGGTCCGAGAAAACTGGACCACGACCCATGGGCCGAGAAAAAGAGACAACGATAAACCGAACCAGGGTCAGAAAAACAAAATCACAATCTAGGGGCCGAGAAACGCAGAACACGAGAAACCGAACCAGGGTCCGAGACAACGGGACCACGATCAAGGGGCCGAGAAAACAAACAACGTACAAGGGTCAGAGAAAACGAGACCACGACCCAGCGGCCGAGAACACGAGAAAACAACACAACTGAAAAGGGTCCGAAGAAAAATGACACCACGACCCCAAGGCCGAGAAGACAAGGAAACGATATCACGAACCAGGGCCCGACAAAAACAACACAAAAAAACAACAATTGAGAAAACGACAGAACTAAACAACGAATCAGGGTCCGAGAAAACGAGACCACGACCCTGGGGCCGAGAACACGAGAAAACAAGAAAAACCCAAGCCCGAGCAAACGTGACAACGACCCAAGGGCACAACAAAACGCGAAAACGAACCAGGGTCCGAGAAAACACGACCACGACCCAGGGCCAGAGAAAACGAGAAAACAATAAAAGAAATCAGGGCCCGAGCAAACGAGACTACGAACTAGGGGCCGAGAAAACAAGAAAACGAAACAACGAACCAGAACAGAGAAAACGAGACCACGACCAAGGGGCCTAGAAAACAAAACAACGAAACAACGAACCAGGCCCAGAGAAAACGAGACCACGGCCCAGGAGCCGAGGCAATGAGAAAACGCGAAAACGACCCACGACCCAGGGGCCGAGAAACCGAGAAAACGAACCAGGGTCCGAGGACACCACGACCCAGGGGCTGAGACCACCAGGAAACACTTGGTTCTAGAAAGCGAAACCACGACCCAGGAGTCGAGACAACGAAGAAACGAGAAAACGAAACAGGGTCAGAGAAAACGAGACCACCAGCCGGGGGCCGAGACAACGAGACAGCGAGAATACTAACCAGCGTCCGAGAAAACAAAACCACGACCCAAGGGCAGAGAAAACGACAAAACGAAGCAGTGCCCGACAAAACTGGACCACGACCCAGGAGCCGAGAACACGAGAGGACGAGAACAGGAGCCAGGGTCAGAGAAAACGAGACCGCGACCCAGGAGCCGAGAACACGAGAAAACAAGAAAACAAACCAAGGGCAGAGAACATGAGAAAACGACAAAAGGAATCGGGGCCCGTGAAAACGAGACTACGAACAAGGGGCCGAGAAAACAAACTTATCCCAGTGCGACCCTACCTAGGAGTTGGAGCATCTAGGAAAGCAACATCGGGCTCGGCATTGCTATGCTATGCTATGCTATGCTATGCTATGCTATGTTGCGCTGTGCTATGCTAAGCTAAGCAGAGCTATGCTGCGCTAAGCTATGCTATGCTATGCTATGTTATGCTGCGCTATGCTATGCTGCGCTATGCTATGCTATGCTATGCTATGATAGGCTATGATAGGCTATGCTATGCTAATGCTGCGCTGCGCTGCGCTAAGCTAAGCTGAGCTGAGCTAAGCTAAGCTGGGCTAGGCTAAGCTAAGCTAAGCTAGGCTAGGCTAGGCTAGGCTAAGCTAAGCTAAGCTAAGCTAAGTTAAGCTAGGCTAAGCTAAGATGAGATAAGCAACGCTAAGCTAAGGGGTCATCACTGGGGGAACCGCGGGGCGGATACTGGGGGAACAACCCGGGGCGAGGACCACTGCCCGGCCCTTTAAGCATACACGGTAAGAACCCTTCTAGGCAGAGCCTAGGTAGGGAAAAACAAGAAAACGAACTAAAGGTCGACGTTATTCTCCAATTCGTTCTCTGACGCTGAGGTGCGCACCTGTCGTCAGGGATTCCGCCATTTTGCCACAGCCCTGGAAGGGAGGGGGGGGGGCGGTAGCTTCGGAAGCCCCCCCCCCCCCCCCTTAGGAAGGGGGGGTAGCTTGACGCTGGGCCCCCCCTTTTAGTACTGAGTTCCGCACGGGCGCGCTCTTTCGAATGTATGTATGCATGCATGTATGCATGTATGCTCGTATCTATGTGTGTATGTATGTGTGTATGCGTACATGTGTGCATGCATACTTGTATGCATGCATGCATGCATGCATGCATGCATGTATGTATGTATGTATGTATGTATGTATGTATGTATGTATGTATGTATATATGATATATGTATGTATGTATGCTAAATGTAGGCCATACAGGTGTTATATACATGTGTGTGTAATGGCGACGTCACCAGGCAACGCAATGAGGCAAGGCTGATCGGTTGTTTGCTCGGCGCGTAGTTTTTGCACTCGACCGCGCCAACCGACGCAAACCCCATGCCATCCTCTCTGCCGAGCAGCTTGCACTACGCGGGGAATGGGGCGAACAAAACACTACCTGCAATTACGATGCTTCTACAACATGGCAAAACAAATCTGAAACACACAAACTCACCGACTATCCAACCAACTCTCCGTGTCAAAGGGTACGCCAGTCTCCGGGTGCATACCAGCCAGACTGCGTGACCAGGCATATCGTCTGCCATAGTCACAAGGTTCACCATGACGCGGCGGTCAAGGACAGCTCATCTTGCGGTTCCCGACCTGTCACCCGCTGGAGTGATACTTACACTATAGAGATGCAAAGCGCCAACCGAATATGCGGGACGCTCCCAGGACAATCTTTTGTCCACGCTCCAAAAGCAACAAAGCGTTTGCCCAAGCCTCTGGTTCACATTATAGCTTGCGTGAGCAGGAGATGAATAACGCAGCACCCCCACAATTGCGGATAAGAGTGAGGGGGCGGCGGGGTCGTCGGTTCTCTGCGAGGCTCTGCGCCCGATTTTTTCAACACATGACACACGAAGCCCGCCGGCCGCAGGCGCCAACTCCCTCTTCAACGCAACGTCGGTGGGTCGCGGGTGGGTCGCGGGGGTGGGTCGCGGGTGGACAACGACCACAAACAACGCCGCAACAATCCGTAGCGTGGAACCCCACTTCAGCCGCGCGCCCAGGGGCAGCGAACGTGACTATAGGGAACTCGACCTGAACCTGAGGCTTGTGCGATGAGTTGAAAACTTTGGCGCCGATGGCAGTATGCTTTGCAACGGCCAATGCAGGACTGTATTAACAGCGTGGACGCCCGATGGCTCCTGTAGAAAGGGCGTCGACCGTGCCTGCTCCTGTTAATGTGGCGGCGTTCGGCTTCTGCCCTCGCATCTATTTGCCGCTGTCAGTGTCCGCCGCATCCGACGAGAGAATGGCGCCGACCGGGCAAGTCGCCGAGCCGCGGGCGCCGACCGTCAGCTCGGGGAGAAGCAGGAGGATGTAGGATGGAAAGGAGCAGGAGAATGCAGTATGGAAAGGCTCGGAACGATAAGCATCAATCAACCGACCCCGATCCTCATGGGCGTGGCCTGGGCCCCACTGGCCGACCCCCCCCCCCGTAAGGGTTTTAAGCAAGTCCCCTGGGAACAGCAGTTTTCAAGGTTTGCCAGCGACAATGAAAGAGCGTTCAAACCATTTTGTTTTTACCAACGGGATTGATTGAGCGCAGGATTACAACATGATCCCTTTGGTGGCGGATCGCAGATTCAATCCCTCGGTTTCTTCTGTTTTGTGGATTACGATGTTACAACTCCACTACGACCGCCCCAGTACTAGGGCTCCAGTAGTACAGCCCCAATACTGCAGCTCCACTATTACCGCCCGAGTACTACAGCTCCAGTAGTACATGCCTACACTACAACCCCAATATCACAGCTCCAATACTACAGGCCCCAGTACTACAGGGGCACTTAGGAGGAAACCAGGAGGAGAAAGGAAACAACAACAAAAAGTTGAACACCCAAGGAAACCCCAAACATCGCAACGTTTTCAATATTCTTGGTGTTCGCACTGCGAGAAATTGCAGAAACAACGTTTTCATCCCCCGGAGGTCCAAAACATGTTGTTTTACAGTGTTTTCAGCATCAGAAGGCAACAACACGTTGTAAAACACAGCGTTTTGAGCGTCCGGATAGCCAGAGCGCTGTCTTTTACAACGTTTCTATGCACCCCGTTGGTAAAACACACATGGTAAAACAAACGTTTTTTTGCTTTCCGGAGGCTGCAAACGCTGCGTTTCAGGTTTTGATGTCTTCCGGTGCTGGAGACATTGTGACAAAAATAGTTTTGGCACTCCGGAGGCTCAAGACGTTGTGTTTTACTGTGTTTTAGTGCTTTTCGGTGCTGGAGACCTTGTACGAAACAATGTTTTGGACTTCCGGGGGCTGAAAACGCTGTGTTTTCCAATTTCTTTGCAATGCGAACATCAAAAATATTGAAAACACCATAATGTGTGCAATTTTCATGTTTTTTGCGTGTGTCGTTTCTCCTCCTGGTTTCCTTCCAGGATTTCTATTCAAAAGCGCCACACAAGGATTTCTATTGTAATCCGCCGCAAAAGGAATCTTATTGTAATCCGACGCAGAAAGATTTTTTATGGAATTCGCCACAAAAGGATTTATATTGTGACTCGCCACAATTGGAGTCCTACTGCGGCGGTCAGGACAATTTCTGGGGAGGGGAAAAAATAACAACAACCTGATCTGTTTTTATTTGATTTTTCTCCCCGCGGCGGCGGCAAACAAAAGGATGATCAATTATTTAGTTTGTGTTGTTTGGTTTTGTTCTGCCCCTCCCGGAAACTTCCCTGGCCGCCACAATAGGATTCCTTTCGTGGCGACTTGCAATAGAGATCCTTGTCTGGCGAATTCAACAAACATCCCTCTGTGTCATATTACACTTAAATTCCTTTTGTGGCGGTTTTCAATAGAAACCCTTTTGTGGCGGCTTTCAATAGAAACCCTTATGTTGCGGAGTACAGTGATAATCCGCCGGCTCCCTTGTGGGGCCACCAGGCTGTAGGCCGGAGGTTCGCAGTTCCCTGTGCCAGTTGCAGCTTCCAGTTTCCACTGTAACAGTTCTGCTTCTTGCTGCTTAGTGTTCCTTGTTGCAGTTCTGCTTCTTGCTGCTTACTGTTCCTTGTTGATGGACCGCGCGAGTGGGGGAGGCCCAAAACGGGCATTTTTTCCATGCCCAAATCGTATTGTCTGAATTGCTGGGGTGGGTAGCAATGGACACCCCTCACGCAGATCGGCGGGGTCAGGGTCCAAAAAACACATGGGATTTGCCACATTTCTAAAATTCGGTGGCAGCCCTCACGCAGATCGGCGGGGTCAGGGTCCAAAAAACACATGGGATTTGCCACATTTGTAAAATTCGGTGACAGCCCTCACGCAGATCGGCGAGGTCAATGTCCAAAAACACAAGGGATTTGCCACATTTCTAAAATTCGGTGGCACCCTTCATACAGGTCGGCGGGGTTAGGGTCCCAAAAACACATAGGATTTGCCGCATTTCTGAAATTCGGTGGCGCCCCTCACGCAGATCGGCGGGGTCAGGGTTCAAACACATCAAGGATTTGCAGCGTTTCTAAAATTCGGTGGCAGCCCTCACGCAGATCGGCGGGGTCAGGGTCCAAAAACATGAAGGATTTGCCACGTTTCTAAAATTCGGTGGCACCCCTCACGCAGATCGGCGAGGTCAGCGTCCAAAAACACTAAGGATTTGCCACATTTCTGAAATTCGGTGGCAGCTCTCACGCAGATCGGCGGGGTCAGGGTCCAAACACATAAGGGATTTGCAACATTTCTAAGATTCGGCGGCACCCCTCATGCAGATCGGCAGGGTCAGGGCCATCTGAACCCATGGGATTTGCCACATTTCTGAAATTCGGCGGCGCCCCTCACGCGGATTCGTAGGGTCAGGGTCCAAAACACAAGGAATTTGTCACATGTCTGAAATTCGGCGGCACCCCTCACGCAGATCCGTGGGGTCAAGGTCGAAAAACAAACACGTCCCGACACTGCTTCACGGCGGAGCCAAAGCCTCATGACTTCGCTCTTCCATAGCCCATTCTCCGAGAGAGGGGGCCCGCGGCAGAGGGCGAAGCCCTTACGGATCTTTTTGTTGCGGATTTCAATAAAATTCTCTGTGTGGCAGAAAAAAAAAACATCTTGTGGGACCTGCAACACATTTACTGTTGGTTGCGGCTTGCACTTTGATTCCCGTGGAAGAGGCGAGTAATACAATTTCTTTTGCCGGGCATACACTTGGATTTCCTCTTGTAGTGCGTTTCAGAAGAAAATGTTAATGGCGGAATGCAGAACAGCACGTCTTTGAACGACGATCGTATTAGAGGTGGATCCAGCTCTAAAAAATCCTGTTGGGGGTGAATCCTGCTCACATAGAATCTTATTCGGAATGGATCCACATGGACCCAGCTCGAAATATAATCGCATTAGGGGTGGATCCAGCTTTGATGAAATCCCGTTAAAGCTTTGATATCATCCAAATCGGGATGGATCCAGCTCTGATAGAATCCGATTAGGTGTGAATTCTGCTCTATTACAATCATATAGGGGTGTATCCAACTCTAATAGAATCGTATCGGGTGTGGATCCAACTCTGATAAAATACACGTAGGGGTGGATCCAACTCTACTACAAACATATTAAGGGGCGGGCCCAGCTCTAATATAATACTAGCAGGGTGGGTCCAACTCTAACGGGGTCTTATCACGGGTGGATCCAGCTCTAATTTGTTTCTAATAGGATTCGGATGGGGCCGGATCCATCCCTAATAGGCTTCTTTTAGAACTGGATCCACCCCTATGCTGGAACCACCCCTAGTAAGATCCTATTAAAGCTGGACCAATTCCTACAAGGATTATATTACTGCTGGGCCCACTTTAATACGACTCTATTAGAGCAGGATCCCCCCGTACTACTATTCTATGAAAGCTGGATCCACCCCTAAAGGGATTCTATTAGAGATGGATCCACCCCTAATGGGATTCTATCAGAGCCGGATCCACCTCTAAGAAGATTCTGTTAGAGCTGGATCCACTTCTACAAGGATTCTAGTAGAGCTGGATCCACCCTTTACATAATCCAATTACAAGCTCGATCCACCCTCATAGGATTCTATTATAGCTTGATCCACTCCGAATGCGATTCTATCAGAGCTGGATCCACCCATAGTAGAATTCGATCAGAGCTGGACCCACACCTGATAGGATTCTATTAAAGCTGGACGCACGCCGGATGAAATTCTCTTAAGGCTGGATCCACCCATAATAGGATTCGATGAGAGCTGGATCCACACCTAATAAGTTTCTACTCGAGCTGGACCCACACCTGATACTATTCTATTCGAGCTGAATCCACCACATACAAGTATGATTCTATTAGAGCTGGATCCACCCCTGATTGTATTCTATCAGAGTTGGATCCGCCACTGAAGAGATTTTACTGGAGCTGGATCCATTCCGACTACGATTCTATGAATGCTGGATCCACTCCTAATAGGCTTCTATATGTTCGAGCTGGATCCACTCCGAAAAAGATTCTATTAGAGCTGGACCCGCTCCGAATTAGGGTTTTAGTAATGCTGAATCCATCCCTGGAAGGATTCAATGAAATGTGGATCCACCCTACATCGGATTCAATTAAGGCTGTATCCACCCCTAATAGGATTTGATTAGAGCTGGATCCACTCCCAATGCGGTTCTAGTAAAACTGGATCCACCCGTAATAGGATTCTATTGGAGCTGGATCCACTCCTCATCACCATCATCACCATCACCATCATCACCATCATCACCATCATCTTCATCATCTTCTTCATCATCATCATCATCATCACCATCACCATCACCATCACCATCATCATCATCATCATCATCATCATCATCATCATCATCATCATCATCATCATCATCTGCGCGCGCACCGTACTCCATTTGAGCTGTCCCTCATGAGCCTTCGACAGCAAGTATCACCATAACTAATGCAGCGGTCACAACGTAACTGCTGCTCCCAGGGGACTTGTTTAACCCCCCCCTCCCCCCCGGATGGGGACATGAGCAGTTTCCTTTGGGTTTCGAAGGGTATATCCCCAACTGGGGTGATGATTGGGATGGGTAGGGATGGGGATGGGGAAAGGAAGCCGGTTGAACGATACTGCAATGAGGAAGGCCTGCCACCGAAATGGCCCCAAAGGCTCTTGCGGAAGCGGGCCCTCGGGCTCTCGCCCGGGGGCCCGCCCTTCACGTCGATCCGCTGCTGTCCACGCCCCGCGGGCCCGGGAAACGGCCCCCAGAGGCCGAAACCAGTGAGAAAGGCATCGGGCCCCCCTTTCCTTCAAGATCCTCCTCCTCCCTCTTCCTCCTCCGCTCCTCCTCCTCCCTTGCCCTTGCGCAGGCTGCAGGGCCTCCTCCTCCCTCTCCCTTCTCCTCGCTAGTGCCCAAGGCACGGAGAGCACAACCGCAGATGGAGGCTGCTCGGATAGGGCCCGAGTGCTCCGAGTTTCTTCATAAGCGTGGCGCCACCCCCGCCGACAATCCCACATCGGCCCCGGTCGCGTGCAGCCACCGCGCGCCGGAGGCGCTCCGACCCCCAACGCAGCGCAACGACGAGGCGAGGTTGATCCGTCGGGGGGTATCCCCCCACGCTTATTAAGAAACCCAGAGTAGGTTGAAGGACCCTGGGACACACAAATAAATGCACACACAATCAACAGGAGTCCCCATATTTTCAAATATTTTCTGGGTTTTTGTCTCCCCCCCACTTCCCACATTTTCCAATATTTTCTGGGGAATCGCCGATTCATGGTGTCTGTGTGTGTTTTTTCCCCTCCTGAGAGGTGTCGGCGGACCACCGCGCCGCGTCGCCGACGCATCGCCGACGCATCGGCGGCGACGGGCTGGAAGACCGTCGGCGCAGCGGCGGCCCCCCGGAGGGGCCTCCGCACACGCCCGCTCGGCCGGGGCACCCCGCAGCACCGTGCAGCTGTCATGGGGGGCACCCTGGCGGAGCACCGCGGGAAAAACGCGGCCTGGGCTGCGCCACATCGCCGATCCCTTGAAAGGGCAGAAGATCCACCCCGATCATAACCACCCCGACGCGCGAAGCCGTTTGGTCAACGCACCCAAGGAAGGAGTCGAACAGGGCAGGGCTGTTTAGTAAACGCCCAGGGCCGTTTAGTAAACGCCAATTGCCGGGGTCTGGGTGCTTTTTCCTCCCTTGATCCTAGGCGATGCGGCGCGATCCCCCCCCCCTCTCCCTCTTCCCTCTCTACAGTTACACGACACGAATACAATACTCTCCTCCCTCTCTCCCGGGATGACGTCCAGAAGATGCCCGCCCCCCCTCCGGAGGTGTTTTTTTGGGGGGGGAGGTCTCACAATGTTGCTTCTGCTGAAGCGCTGGCCTCATTTCCGGGCTTCCGCTCGTTCCGAATCGTGCTCCCGCTGCAGCGCAGACGTCATTTCCGCGGTCCTTCCGCTCGTTCCGAATCTTGCTCCCGCTGCAACGCTGGCGACATTTCCGAGCTTCCGCTCGTTCCGAATCGTGCTCCTGCTGCAGCGCTGGCGTCATTATTTCCAGTGCCATGCCACAGCATGGTTTTCGGTCCTTCCAAGTAAGTCCCCAAATCTAGAAAATACACCCCCTAAAAAACCACCTGAAGCGATTCCACACTCGGTGTCGATTCGTTGATTTTTGGGCCGCAGACCCCCCCCCACTTTGGGGCGTCGCCACACCATGCTATGTCATGCTACGCGTTGATCTTCAACACCATGCTATGCCATGCAATGCTATGCCATGCTACGACATCCGACTGTGCGAATAGAAAGGAGATCTACGCCATCGCAAGGGATGGGAGGGAAGGATAGGACGTCAGATGACGCGAGCGCACCTATCTGCCCCTCTCCCCCTCCCCCTCTCTCCCATCTCCCCCTCTCTCTCCAAGATCCCCCTCTATCCCTCGGACCCCAACTTGCGAGGCGGGGACTTGTCCATATAATTGCCGCCCGGGGGGATGACCATCTTCGGGGACGCCGGCAGGTGGTGAACATCTGGCCCAAACCCCCGGGCCCGATCGTGTCCATTTACGCCGCCTGCCGAGGTCATCGAAGATCGATTCCACTGGCGGGGGCCGCCGCTGACGACGACGACGACAAACGATGGACGACGAACGACAAACGACGACGACGACGACGAACGACGAACGACGACGAACGACGAACGACGACGAACATCTGGGCGGAGGGAGCCTTTCGGCAGAAGGTGCCCGCAGCGGCATTGCCGAACAGGTGGGGGGTCGAATGATCGCGCCGCATCGGCGACGTCGGCACGGAGAAGATCGGGCTCCCCATCGAGACGCACCGCCGATGCATCGGCGATGCGGCGCGATCCCCCAACGCCATCTACTCTGACCCCATCTGGGAGGCCTAGAAGAAGGTGCCCGCAGCGGCCGGAGCCCCTCGCAAAGGCGGCAACATGGCCTGGCTTGCCTCCCGCGGAGCGCCAAACCACCTCGCCCTTCCTCGGGTGCTGCCAGAGGTGACCGGCCACAGGCAGGAGCGGTCGACATCGAATTGCGAGATCGGACCGAAGCGGTTTGTGCGGCGGGTCTGGACTCATCGGCTCGGCCGCGCCGAGATGCACAGAGGTGCCATGCAAACATCGGGAAAAACATCGGGTTGTCGGCATATCGGAAGCGAAGTGGATCGAGTCAGCCAGAAACGAGGTCGAACAAGATCCATTGGATCGACGTAGCCCTCTCTGGGGAGGCAGAATGGCCTCTGCTTCTCCGGGGAGGCCCCTCTCCGGATCGCAGACTGGCCACTGCCTCTCCGGGGAGGCCCCGGTGCTCGTCACGAGACCCGGGGAGCCCCAGCGTTGCCAGAGCTGAGCAAACATTTCAGGGGCGCCTTGGCATGGGGCCACATCTGGCAACGCCCGACCTTTGTGGTGGTCGCGCTCTTGCGCGATCTGGGGCACGAGGGTGAAACAGTATAGGCTACAGGCCGCTGCAGAGCAAGTCGCCCAGCTTAGCTCCTCCTCCTCCTCCTCCTCCTCCTGCAAGGTCTGCTCCTTCCTCTCGGGCATGCGGGGAGGGGGGCGTCCCGAGTCAAGACGGAACGCCCAGGCCGCATCGAGCCTTAGCGTTGTCGGCAGGAAGCGAGCCCTCCAAGGAGAAGGTCATTGGCCGCGCAGCGCACCGCGGGGCGTCAGGCAGCCAAGACGGAGGTGCCTGACCAGCTGAAGATCAAGCACTGAAAAAACTTAAGGTAGCCCTCTCTAGCTTACCTTTGCGTCTGGCTGCTTCGGCTTGGGCTTGAGATTTTTTTCGCGTGTGAGGCGGGTGTGGTTCGGGAAGGTAGGGTGTGACGTACGATTGCGCGCGAGAGTATGATGTCACGTTAGCGTACGATGTCGCGTGAGAATCGAGATGAGTGGGAGGAGGCTCATAGAGGGAACTATACCCAAAACGCCAAACACATGGATCAATATCACCGCGTTTCCACCATTAAATTGTTGTTTACGTTAACTCGTGCTTTTATCACTGCTTGGCCTTTTGATTAGATATCGTTGCACCGCGTATAAGTTTCGGGACGGTTCGAGTGAGGGTGGTGCTCTTGGAAATGTCTTGGGGTCGTCTGGGGGCAGGTTTGGGGGCCTCTTGGGCTGTCTTCAGGCCCTCCTAGGGCCGTGCCGAGGCCGTCTTGGGCCCATTTTATGCCGTCTTGGAGCCGTCTTGGGCGGTCGGAAGAGCAAAAACACAACAATTCTTCAAACACCTCAAGAGCATCAATGTGTGTTGGCCTCATCAGGGCCTCTGTGGGGCGCGCCAGGGGCTCTCCTGGGGTGTCCTGGGGACATCTTGAGCCGTGGTGAGGCCATCCTGTGCGCTCTTGGTGCCCTCTTGGGCCGTCTTCGGCTCGTTCTGGCTCCTCTCGGGCGGTTTTGGGGGTATCTTGGGCTGCCTTGGAGGCCTCTTGGGCCGTCTGGAGGCCTCTTGAGGCCCCGGGCCCGCCGGGGCCCCTCCCCTGGCCGTTGCCTCGAAGCGCGCGCTGGGCGACCATACCCGGTGCCTCGCACACGACACAGCCCCGACAGCCGTCACCACAGACGTGGCTCCGTCAGCCCTGCCGCGCGCCGCCGACGCCGCTGGGGCCCCGGTCCCCCCCGCCCACGCGAGCGGGGAAGGGTCGCCGCGTCCGCCGCAGGGGCCTGGCGACCGTCGGCGCCGGCCGCGTCCTCTGCGAGGACCAGCCTTCGGCGCGATCTCCCTGCCACCACGGACGCCTACCGCGTCGCTCTTCCCGATGGCGGTGTTCCTGCTCTTGCGGCCCCTCGCTCAATGCGCCGCGCCGCCCAAGCAGCAGGGCGACGCCGGGTCCCACCCCGCCGTGCCAGCCGGCCGTGCCAGCCGCGAACGGCCGTGAACAGGCCGCGCCCGACGAATCGGCAGCACTTGCAAAAACCCCAGCAGCGCCCGCGGACGGAGGTTCGCGACGCAACGGCGATGCATCGACGATGCATCGGCGACATCAACGATGCATCGGCGACGCAACGGTGGAGAAACAACGGGCTCCACATCGATTGAGCAGGGACTGACCGTCCCGGCATTGGTATAGGCCTACCATTTGTTCTGGGAGCAACAACAATGTTCTTAGAACATAAACCCAATGTGTTAAACAAGACAGACTAAGCCAGAAATGTTCTAAGAACATTTGGTGAAAACAACGCAAGGTTCTGAGAACATTCTTCGGTGGGCCTATAGGCGAGCCAAGACGCTTCGCCACTGCTTCAATCGAACCGCGCCCCGGAATCTTCGTCGACGCACCGCTCCACCCACGGCGTGTCGGGTACGGCTCAGCCTTCTCTTGACCGCACTGCCCTGCTGGCGAGACCCGGCCTCGCGACAGACAGCAGAACCCCTGGGGTGAGCAGCGCGATTCTGATCAGCCGCTCGGAGTCACTATGACGCCACATGCCCCAACCACCAGCAACGGCCCGACGCGAGCCACCTCGGTGCCAGTGAGAGATTCACTGGCGCTGGCTCACGGACTAGCCCCCTGCGCACCGCCGGCCAGTCAGGGGCGGCCATTCGAGCACTTCTGCATGTCAGCGCCACGGCTGCCGAACTTCAACCTCCATCATACCGCTCTGCGCTGCTCCCGCGCCAGCTCGGATGCATGCGCGGTGCTGCCGACGGCCGACGCCGCCTCCCGCCGCAAGCGGCCCCAGCCCCAGTCCAGGGGCCCGAGGGTGCCCGCGACCCCGTCGGCCTCGGTGGGCCTTCGGATTTCCCCAATGATCGCATTCGCCTCGAGCCCAGCGGCCCGGCGGCGTGAGCGGCCTACCTCGGGCGCGGCCCTCTTCCGCCAGGCCCCCTCCCGCGAAGAGGCCCCGACGCGGCCTCCTCGCGAGGGCCCGGGGTCCCAGGCGCTCGCCCCGCCGCCGCTGCTGCGAGCGGCCGGGGGCGCGCCGCGCTCGGCGAGCCCGGTGGCGCCATTGGAGGCCCCGCCAACGCCCGCAGAGACCCCGCTCAGCGCTCCACCCGCGGCGCGTCGGAGACGGCTCAGCCTTCTCCTGACCGCAGCGTCTTGCCGGCGGGCCCCGGTCTTACGACAGTCAACCATGGCAGCGCGGGACCGCAACAGGCCGCTCCTCGCAGGGGGAAGGCCTGCCTCGGGCAGCGTCCTCCACCCACAGGGCCCACCCTGCCGACGCCGCCGAAGTGGCGCAGCTCGCGCGAGCACTCGAGCGCGTTCGCCAGGGGCGCCCACTGGCCCGTGCGCCGCCTGGCACGCGTCCACTGCGGCCTCCCGCCACTGCGGGTCCTGAGGGGATGCTGGACGGATGCCGCCACTGTCAGCGAGGTACGGTCATGCCGAAGACGGGTGCAGGCGTCGTTTTACCCTGCAGGTGAGATTCGGACGGCTGCGAGGCAGTGTCACGGTACACCACCAGCTCTTGCGGGGAGGGGGTCCCCTCGTCCCCTCCCTCTCCCTCCTCCTCTGGCCTTCCGCCCCAAGACGGGTGTGAAGGGCCCTTTAGCCGACAATGTTTCGGGTGTAGCGCGCTTGCCCGCCGACCCGCGGAAGGAACTCCGCCCATATTGTCCGATCTTTCTTTCTTTCTCTCTCTCTCTCCCTCTCTCTCTCTCTCCCTGCCTTTCCTTAGGTTTACTTAATTACCTCCTCCCTGGACAGCGGAACCCTCTAGTTTCGTGCTTCATTCGTTCGTGGTTCGCTCTCCTCCCCTGGCCACCTCCCCTGGTTTCCCTGCCCCCCCTCCCAGGCTCCCTTGGGCCGTGGAATCTTTCATTCCCAACCATCCTGTGGTGTTGGGTCCTCGTTTTGAAGAGACGGTGCCCCGCGTTCCTCTCCTCCTCCTCTCCTCCTCCTCCTCCTCCTCCTCCTCCTCCTCCTCCTCCTCGCCCTCCCCCCTCCAGGGTTCGCATGCCTCCCCACCACCCATTTCGGCACACCCCTCACACGTTTCGTGGCCCCATAGGGAGCTCCACCGAAGGCCCCAGTGGCAGTGTTCGCATGCCTCCCCACCACCCATTTCGGCACACCCCTCACACGTTTCGTGGCCCCATAGGGAGCTCCACCGAAGGCCCCAGTGGCAGGTTCGCATGCCTCCCCACCACCCATTTCGGCACACCCCTCACACGCTTCGTGGCCCCATAGGGAGCTCCACCGAAGGCCCCAGTGGCAGGGTTCGCATGCCTCCCCACCACCCATTTCGGCACACCCCTCACACGTTTCGTGGCCCCATAGGGAGCTCCACCGAAGGCCCCAGTGGCAGGGTTCGCATGCCTCCCCACCACCCATCTCGGCACACCCCTCACACGTTTCGTGGCCCCATAGGGAGCTCCACCGAAGGCCCCAGTGGCAGGGTTCGCATGCCTCCCCACACCCATTTCGGCACACCCCTCACACGTTTCGTGGCCCCATAGGGAGCTCCACCGAAGGCCCCAGTGGCAGGGTTCGCATGCCTCCCACCGGCACACCCCTCACACGTTTTCGTGGCCCCATAGGGAGCTCACCGAAGGCCCCATGCACCATCTCGGCACACCCCTCACACGTTTCGTGGCCCCACCGAAGGTCGGCAGGGTTCGCATGCCTCCCCACCACCCATTTCGTCGGCACACGTCACACGTTTTCGTGGCCCCATAGGGAGCTCCACCGAAGGCCCCAGTGGCAGGGTTCGCATGCCTCCCCACCACCCATTTCGGCACACCCCTCACACGTTTCGTGGCCCCATAGGGAGCTCCACCGAAGGCCCCAGTGGCAGGGTCCGCATGCCTCCCCACCACCCATTTCGGCACACCCCTCACACGTTTCGTGGCCCCATAGGGAGCTCCACCGAAGGCCCCAGTGGCAGGGTCCGCATGCCTCCCCACCACCCATTTCGGCACACCCCTCACACGGCGTCACACGTTTCCCCATAGCTCCACCGAAGGCCCCAGTGGCAGGGTTCGCATGCTCCCCACCACCCATTTCGGCACACCCCTCACACGTTTCGTGGCCCCATAGGGAGCTCCACCGAAGGCCCCAGTGGGGTTCGCATGCCTCCCCACCACCCATTTCGGCACACCCCTCACACGTTTCGTGGCCCCATAGGGAGCTCCACCGAAGGCCCCAGTGGCTGCGGTTCGCATGCCTCCCCACCACCCATTCGGCACACCCCTCACACGTTTCGTGGCCCCATAGGGAGCTCCACCGAAGGCCCCAGTGGCAGGGTTCGCATGCCTCCCCACCACCCATTTCGGCACACCCCTCACACGTTTCGTGGCCCCATAGGGAGCTCCACCGAAGGCCCCAGTGGCAGGGTTCGCATGCCTCCCCACCACCCATTTCGGCACACCCCTCACACGTTTCGTGGCCCCATAGGGAGCTCCACCGAAGGCCCCAGTGGCAGGGTTCGCATGCCTCCCCACCACCCATTTCGGCACACCCCTCACACGTTTCGTGGCCCCATAGGGAGCTCCACCGAAGGCCCCAGTGGCAGGGTCCGCATGCCTCCCCACCACCCATTTCGGCACACCCCTCACACGTTTCGTGGCCCCATAGGGAGCTCCACCGAAGGCCCCAGTGGCGCGGTGCCTATGAGAAGAGGGGCCTAGTTTGCGTGCCCCCTCCTTCGTCTCATATCCGTGCGGTACTCGCAGCTGCATATGGTTGGGTCCTTCGCCAGGCTATTTTTCGTGGTTCGTTCGTTTGTGGTTCGTCCTCCTCCCCCTCGCCTGGCCTGGTTTTCCCGGGGCCTGGACCACCCGCTGGCCTTCCCCTGCTTCACTGGGCCCTGGACTTCCCCCTCGGGCGTCCCAGGGCAACTCCCCCGGGCCGCGGAACATTTTTGTTTTCGGGGTTCGTTCGTTCGTGGTTCGTCCTCCTCCCCTGGCCACCTCCCCTGGCTTTCCTGCCCCCCCCCGTCCCGGGCCCTTCTGGGCCGTGGAATCTTTTCATGTTCGTGGCTCGTTCGTTCGTGGTTCGTCCTCCTCCCCTGGCTTCCTGGCTTCCCTGCGCCCTGGCCCATGGCCCTCCTGCTCTGGCTTTGGGCGATACTCCCTGGCTTCCCAGGGCAGCTCCCCTGGGCCGCGGACCTATCTATTTTCGTGGTCGTTCGTGGTTCGTCCTCCTCCCATGGCCTCCTTCCCTGTCTTCTTGACGATTCCCCCTGGGCTCCCAGGGCAGCTCCCTTGGGCCGCGGAACCCTTGTATTTTCGTGGTCTTTCGTGGTTCGTCCTCCTCCCCTTCCTCTGGACCCTCCTGGGACAGATGACCACGCGCACCTACCTGGCACCCCAAGCGGCCCCTCGACTTCCCCTCCCACTTTCTCCTCCAACGTGCGAGAGCCAGGGCACGCGTGCCCCTTGTTACCTCATCCCTGTGCAACTACAAAGAAAAGTCCACGGGTCGCCGGCAGACCCCCGTGGGAACAGCCCCGGACGGTGCCCAACGGCCTCCAGACAACTCAGAATCCCTCCACAACGACCAAAGTCGATCTCGAACACCCAAGACTGCGCCACGACGGCCCCAAGAATGATCAAAGAGCGCTCCTCAATACGTCCTGAGACCCGCAACGATGCCCGCGAGAGGCCCGAAACCTTCGAACGAAGTGAGGAATCTCATTTTCGGTACATGTGCCACTCCCCATCTTCATGGCTAACTATCCGAGGCCCCACAACCGCTCCCAGGAGACCCCACGACGCCCCCAGACGCGTCCGAAAAGCCAAAGACGCTCCCGAAAAGGCCAAGGCAAGCTCCTGGGCGGCCCACTTGAGGCCCCACGAGGCCCAGAAGAGAGCTGCCAGAGGCCCCCAAGAAGACCCAACGCGTCCCAGTAGGCCCCCTAAGAAGCCCCAAGGAGCCACAAGAAGCCCCGACGAGGCCCCAAGGTGCCCCCACGAGGCCCTCGAGAGGTTCCAGGGAGCTTTCCTCCAAGCGCCAAAATCCATGAACATCTCCAGGAATGGTGATCATGTCGGCCCATGCGCCACTCCCTCTGTTCATGACCACCCGAGAAACCATCACGCCTCCGAGGCCCCCGAGACAATACCAGAGCCCCGACAAAAAGCCCCACGGGCCCCAAGGAGCCCCAACGTGCTCCGAGGCTCTCACCAGACCGCGACAAAGCGGTCACGAGTGCCCATTGGACGCCCCCGTCCACACTCCACGACCCCCTTCGCGGCCCCCTGCCGGTCGAAGGGGGCCCGAGAACAGCCCATGGGGCCCCCGACACAGCCCATAGTAGTAGTAGTAGTTAGTTAGTTAGTTAGTTAGTTAGTTAGTTAGTTAGTTAGTTAGTTAGGTAGGTAGGTAGGTAGTTAGTTAGTTAGTTGTTTAGTTAGTCAGCAGGAGGGCCCCGGAGACGCCTCCAAGAAGCTTGCGAGGGGCCGCCTCAGTTTCTGCCAGGCCTCACCCGGTGGTGGGGTGGGGGGGGGGGGAGCTGGAGTGCCTGGCGGCGCTCCTCCCGCGCCTCCCTCGCCCCGCTCTCTGCTATGTACGTATTGTGGCATCGGGTCCGTTTGTCATCAGTTTGACGGCCCCGCCTCTCTCTCGGTTCCTCCTCGCCTCCTTCCGCCTCGTATTCAGACGCGCAGCGCCCGCTGCTCGCACCTGACCCACGGACTCTCGGACAACAGCCCCGCACGGAGAGCCCTTCATGCCCGTGCTCAGGCTCAGACTCTGTACCTCCTTCGCAGACTCACTCAGGACTCACTTGTACAAACCACTCGTCCTCGCTGAGGTTCCAGCTTAGGCTTAATGGCTTCGGGTGCGTGTCGGGAGCAACTCCCGACTCGGGAGGC